TCATCTTTTCACGGCCCTTCACTTTATCTGCTTTTGTGTCTGTCTTTTGCAGTGAGTTGAATGCCACGTATCCTGTACCTTTATGAATTCTGAATTTTCAGGTAGAACTTAATCATTTGTGCTTGGATGTAGAAGAAATAATAAAAGAACCATTGTGTTTCACATTTACTTTATGCTACTTTTTATCGAAATGGCATCGCGGAATTGATCGAATAATCACGCCTCCTTGTTTGGTTCCTCTAATCATTACCTATAGCAAAACACTAACTGGATGTTGGGAGGTGGTTATTCTGGTAATCTGGTTTTGGAGGAGCGCTAGTTTTAGCAGTGCCCTGTTCTGGATGCAACTCGGACCAGAAACTGAGTTCACGGATAATTTAAACACAATTCGAGAAGACAGACGTGAGTTTCATGATTGCTTCAGTCACGGATAATTCTAACTATTGCCACTATTCTTAAGTGTTGCCACTATTGTTCTGTTTTATGTAAATTTATGCCGATAAGTCTCCTCAATTATGTTTATCAATTTGGTTCTGTTTCCTTGATAACAAACAAGTCACATAAGGTGGGTAGAGCGGGGTATAATTCCTTGAAGAAAGCATCTATTCTCCGTGTCCACTGCTCTGCTGTTAGCATTAGGGATTGGCTTTTTTCAGGCTTTAGCTCGTTTTACGGATCTGGAACACGCTAAAACATAGGGGGTGCTTCTACTTTGACTCAGACTGTTAAATCATTGACGTTTTACCTTGTTTTTTTTTTTTTTGTGCTGCTTATTTTGTATTGATGTGGCAGGATTCATGCTGGGGAGACTTTGAGCTGTGTGTGATATATTCTTGTGCAAGTGTTATCAAATGTCTTTTGTATCCTTATAGAGTGCATTTGTTCTTTCTTTGGCTCTTGAGGGCGTTTTGCGGAGTTCTCGGTTCTAACTTGGGTGGGTTGGAAGCATTTAAAAAGAGGGAAGAGATTTTACCTCACACGGGATATAATTACTGCGCTTCCATGCGGAGGTCTGTGTGTGTTTCAGAGTTTATCACTCCTGCAATATCAACCGACGACACTGTCATCAAAATTTATCGTTCCTGCGCGCTTGAGTACCTGCTGTTACTAATCCGCTTCTTGATTTCACATTTTATTAAATTTTTGAAGGATGTTTTTCCCAGGATTCTGAAATAAAATAGTAATTTCAATTGCTCATTTGCTTGTAGCGCTCAAAAATTACTGAATGTATTAACAAAGCAAAAAGAAAAAGAAAGAAAAGGAATTGCTATTGTCGATGTTGTGTGATTGGTTGTTTCAAATCATATTATTTGCTATCTAAAATATTCAGCTTACCAAAATGATAAGCGAGTGCTAGAGTTTGTGGTCGTAGACATCCTGGTTGGTATTAATATCTTTAATAATTCAACAACCTGATTTCTTATCCGAATGCCATGGGCTTGATTGAGTCAATTAAAATGAATTGAACTTCTAATTCAATACTGTGAAGTGATTTAAATGATTATTCTCGGGACTCTTGTTCCATCAAAGTTTTGACAGGAATAGCTGTGTGTGTGTGTTCTTTTTTTTTTTTGGGGGGGGGGGGATATAAAGGCAAGTACTAGGAAAAATGGACAACAGATTACAAAACGGGGTCAGAAGCTCGGGGTGAACAACCTAGATCTAACCGTAATCTAAGGAGAAAGCAAGCGGATCTCACATAATGGACATATCCGTGCTTGTTTCATGAGCTCTGCCAGCAAGATAGTCAGCACACTCCACCGCTTCTCTGTGAGAATAAAATAGTTTCAAGATCCCAGTTTGAGAATATTAATGATCTCCCACTAATAGTCTCACCTCTCAAAGAATGTGACGAAAGCATCTGGAAAGTTTGCTTTTGTATGCTGAATCAGACCTGAGAAGATCAATAGCGTTGGAAGTGGGCATTTGAAACGCAGATTACCGTAATGGCGTGATGCGTCTGTCTTTGAAATCAACAATGAACCGTCAAAATGAAACATAGTTATTAGTCCTGTCTTGTTTTCGGTGGTCCCCCTTAATTAAGGGTCAGTCAATATTATTTTCAAATCTTCAAAACGATGCCATTTCCTATTCCGAAAATTCAGAATGCATCCATCCTTCACTTTCTAACCTATGTTCCTGGGGTCATACATTCGTTTGAATTTGGAAATTAGAAGACGAGGAATAGCCTTTCAACTTGCTTCCACCTCAAAAAGTGTTTGCTATATTTCTATTATCAATATTTTCTAATTTGGGGACATGAAAACTCCCATTTTTCAGCTCGTTATTTATCATTGACTTTGTAATCCAATGACATTACAACTCTATTAAATAAGAAAAAAGAGCTCCCATGGCTGTGTTTCTGATTAACTACTGTACTTACTATTAATGGGAAGCACTCCTCTCCAAAGGTGCCCATCTCAAATCTTGCTTAGCTTTACTGATCATGTTGCCTCCTAACGCCAACAAACATAAAACAAGGCATTTCATCTCAAAATTATTCAGGAAAAAAAGAAAAAAAGTTTCAAGAGCCTCATACTTCCCCTCATTTGATACTGAAATCACATGCCAAGATAAATGTAAATGCATAGTTCATTTCAACTGTTCATATCATATATGAATTTGATACAACGTACCAACCTCAAGCCTTTCATCTTTAAAATTCAAACCAATACTAATAATCGGAAGGTCAACTCAATTCCCAAAATCCTATACATAGATTCTCACAACAACCGTCTAAAATCAACACTCACACCGCAATCTCGTTAACAATAACATTTCAAATTGGTTCACACTGATAGAAGCAAAATTAGCATGTTACATACTCTCATTAGAATTACAGAATTTCTCATAAACTAGGCAAATTCATACATAGGAAAATAAAATTTAGCTAGGATTTTTTTTTCTTCACCAAAACTCAGCGAATTGGACATGCAAATATTAAATATTCTTTTAAATTTAACCCACCTGATTCTATACCAAACTTGAGTTTTGTACATATTTAAAAAATATTGCCTTGTTTCTTTTGCTAGCAACAATAATACTCTTCCGGTTTTAAATATAAAACCTTTATACTAGTGTATATAAGAGTTTTATATTTAGGATCGGAATAGTACCTTCTAATCCTATCTACAATAATGATCATGAGGTTTTTCAGATACGAAATAAATTTTTAGAACAATAAAAATACTGATAATAAGGGAGGAATTTATTAGAAACTGATAATAATAAATTTTTGCTATATGCATATATCCTCCTACTAATATAATGATAATAAGGGAGGAATTTATTAAAAATTGATCAGGATTTTTTTAAGGGAGAAATTTATTAGAAATTGATAATAATTATTTTTCAAAGGAGGAATCTATAAGAAATTGACGATAATTATTCTTTCCCAACGGGTTAAATCCGGTTTGGGTTTGTGGCTTTTCCTTCCTACAGGTACGTTTTTTTTAAGACTCAAATTTGAGACCTAAAAGAATCTAACAGGAGACTAGCTTTTTGTTGGTTATTTTGATAATTAATGATTTAAACTTACGAGGCCCATAGTTCTCTCTCCATCTCTGTTTTTGCCTATAATTCGTTGCTGTTTGATGTCGCCGTAACTCCGAATAAGAGCCTGTTTGGTTAAACGGTGGGATCTCAAATAAGCCCGTTTAAATTCAAATAAGTGCTTATGAAGCATGTTTAGGGTGTTTGGATAATTTTTATAAAATCCCGATGAATTGTGATTTTAACCTTCCACTGCACTTTTAGGATAAGCAATAAGTAGTAGCTTATGCATTTGAAAAATCCCGATGAATCTTCAGTAACTAGATTTTCTCCAATCTACCCCTCATTCTAATGGTAATTATTTTAATTTTTTTAAAAAAACATACAATATGAAACTGTTTTTCTTTTAATTTTATCTAAAAGACATTTTTAAAAAAATAAGATAACGGATGACATATGATTGAAACAACGCAATCAAATATTCAGGTAATATTCTGATTCTAGGAGCATCGTTAAATTAAGAAAATAATGATGACAAATAATTTTTCAGCTTATTTTTATATTTATTATTATTATTTTATCTAAAATGATATCTCTGCATTTACCCTTCCAAAAATCTCTCTTCAAATATTCATGTCATTTATTAAATTTAATAATAAATTTATTAAATATAATAATTATGAAAATGTAAACAACTTTATTAACTTCATGTCCTTTTTAGTAATTATACATCCATAAATGATTTTAATAAATAAAAACCAAACATAATCACAATTCTTAAAATCACTTATAAAAAAAAAATCCAAACAGAAATCACGATTGACTAGTGTCACTTATAGCTAGTATCACTTATAAAATTCACGATTATCTAAAATCAAAGTTGTTCACTGCTAATCCAAACGGGCACTAGTTCCAATCCAACAAGAAAAAGCCCACGAGGAATGCGCGCTTCTTACTTGGCGGGTTCAGGTTTTGACGGTTGCCACATCATCCCCTCGACGTCGGACCCGAAGCTTCCCTCTCTTCCTCCGGCGATATATCTGTCAAGTTCAAAGCGCTGCAATGTACTTTCTATCTTCGCGAACGCCTTTACCTCATTCCGTCTCGCTTTAGTTTTTAATATAACCTTCAACGCTAAGCACGTTCCGTTCATGTTTCATTATCTTCTTTCTCCTCTATTTTTATGTTTCACTTTTAATTTGTTCTGGACGAATCTTGTTGAGAGAATTGCCCCTCTTCTTTGTCCTATTTCTGCATTAGCATAGTTAGTATTTTGTATTCCCGATATCAATGTCAGTGTTTATCGTAATATGTTTTGAATTAGGAACTCAATTTGGCATATTGATTTTCTTGTTTTGTTGCGTGATGCCATTGAAGAATAATTACAACCGCAGGCCATGAAGTCCACCCATTTCTGTACTGGTTTTGTCTCTAATGGGTTATATAAGAGGACCCGCACTTGCAACGATATAAATAAGTCGCCAAGTACATGTTCTTCCTTTCGGAGGGGTTTAGGCTGTGACTTTGTCGCGAAAAGCGATGGGAGGCCTTTACTGAACATTGAGGGCGTGGTGGGAGGTTGCCGATTCTCTGCCAAGAATACATCCTTGTGCTCCCCTTTGATAACACATCGCAGGAGACCGCGTTTTCCAGTGGTTGGCAATCAGTCGAATTCTGATTTTGGTCTAGTTTCTGCTGATGTTAACGACTCCTTGGCTTCAGAACGGGAGCATCCTCTGACAAATTCTGATGAAGGGACTGTGTAAGAGCCAACTTCTCAGTCTGCTCTGCTTTATTGGTCACGACTTTCTGTTTAGGGAATACTGTTATTGTATGCCCAGTTTTTATTCGCCTGTGATATTTTGAGAGAAACAAAGGAAGTCTCCACAAAGACTCTCCTCTGCATGTGAAATGCCATTTTTATGCTTGTTCTGATGTTCTTCGTGATAATGTGTCAATTGTAAAATACAAAATGATTGCTTGGGTGCTACTTTCATCCATTGCGTTCATCCTGTAACACACACATTTGGTGCAAGCATTTATTTTCCTTTCAGTGTTATTACTTTAATGCTAATGGTACTTTCGCCTCAACTTATTGACAGTCAGTTACCAGCATCTCCTGTCAACCAACCACATTACACCAGTGTCAAAAGTGAGCTTCTGATGCTGTCTTTGCCTGCTCTCGCTGGTCAGGCAATTGATCCTCTGGCACAGTTGATGGAGACAGCATATATTGGTCGACTGGGTAGAATTTATGCTTCCTATCTCTGGACAATTGTAAAGAAGGTTTTTTTTTTGGTTCGTGGAGCTTTAATTGCATAATTTTCAATATTTATCAGGCACTGTGGAGTTGGCTTCTGCTGGTGTTTCCATATCCATATTCAATGTCGTATCAAAGTTATTTAATATTCCTCTTCTTAGTGTTGCGACTTCCTTTGTGGCTGAGGACATAGCTAAAAATGCTGATCAAGATTCTGTTTCAGGTGAATTTATGCTGAGATTTTTCATAGATTATGTTTATTTTATTCTAATTGTATTTCGGTTATAACAAAAAATGGTCATCTGATGGAATTAATTTTCCCTGTAGGGCATGTTGTTGTTGAAAGTAGTGAGAATGGCAAACCATTAGCAGTAATTCCCCAAAGAAAGCAACTATCCTCCGTGTCCACTGCTTTGTTATTAGCTTTGTGGATTGGCATTTTTGAGGCTTTAGCTTTGTTTATGGGATCTGGAGCATTTCTGCATTTAATGGGCATATCAAAAGTATGATTTATTTTTATTAAAGACTGTTCGATAACTGAGGGTTTATCTTGTTTATATTTTATGGTCATATTTTCTACAATGGAATTGGGTTTATACGTAACAGGGTTTTAGTCGTGAATATTCTCTTGTTAGGATTCTTGTAATCTGTTGATTATATCTTCAGAGTGCACAAATCTAAATTTAACAGGTGGCATTTTCTAAATATTTATTTTTTGGATAAAATAAATTTTTAATATATTCTTTTCAACAGGAAAATCCTACACTCATTCCAGCGCAGCAGTTTCTCTCATTAAGAGCACTTGGTGCTCCAGCAGTTGTACTTTCTTTGGCTCTTCAAGGCATATTCCGTGGTTTTAAGGATACAAGGACTCCTGTTATATGCCTGGGCAAGTGTTTCGTTTACTGTCATCTCTTTGCTGTGAATCAACTTGTGAATAACTATCATAATTATCAAATTTATGTCTTATATGTGCTTGAATACTGTGTTGTGCTATTAATCATCTTCAAAAGGCTCACATTTTTATTAGCCTTCTAAATGATTTTCTTATTCTTGGGATTTAGGAATAAGATGGAAATATGAATTGCTCTTTTGCTCTGATGAGCACTCATAAATTATGAAAAGCATCCTATTCTCCTAAGCAAGTTTGTTCCATCATTGTGGCATTACTTTTCAACATTTTAATCACGGGGTTTGAAGTTGTACTTCCCCTTACTCTATAAAAGTTTTCATAGAGGCTCTTAAGATTACTAATGGTTGCTTGTAAATTCTTTCAAAACTACGGGTAGCTTGGTTTAGCAAACTTGTCAATAGGCTCTTAAGATTACTGACCATTCTATTTAAATATATTGGAACTATAGGCTCGTAAGATTACTGGCCATTCTATTTAAATATATTGGAACTTGTTTAGCAAGCTTGTCAAGATCTAGGTCTTTATTATTACTGGTTCAATTAAGGGACTCAAGATTAGAGTGTAGGGACTGATTGTGAATTATGAGGTCCTATCTCTTAGGATCAATAACAATTAAAGATATCCATGCTCTCATACAACAACAACAATAAAGCCTTATCCAACTAGGTCGGCTACATAAATTGCACGATGCCATTGTTCTCTATAACAGCCAAATCTTTGGATAGGCTGTTAATCAAAAGATTTCGCTCACTAACTTCATTGAGTATTCTCTTTAGCCTTTCTCTACCCCTTTTCAAAAGACTCTGTACCATTTGGTCAACCATCTTCACCAGCGCATCCAAAGGCCTTCTTTGAACATGACCGATTTTCATGCTCTCATACAAAGCGAGAATAATTATAACCCTTAAAAACCACTTCTACATGCTCAAACCTAATAGTTAAGTATATAAGATTTAGAGCTTGATGATAAAGAAGGCATTTTACAGCAGTATCAAGAAGACTTAGCTACACATGGTTATCATTATGAAAGAGACAATGGAGATACAACAAGGAGAGGTAAAATACTTCAGAGGAATTTCCCCCCTGTTTGAATATCCTTTGTTGCATCTATGATCATCCCCTAAATTCAGAGGTGTGTGATGCCCTAAATAATTGTTACCAGTAGAGATTTGAACTGGTTTTTAAGGATTTTGTACAAGAATATTGGGATCTTTTGGAGTGTTGGAATTGCAATGGTACGTGTGATTGTAAGATGTTTCAATCTAGATCTAGATCTCCAGCCATGAATTTAGCATGATTCAAAATTATCATTTGAAATCCTTGTAACGAAAATTGAAAACCTATGAGCACTATTCTTGAATTGAAATTGTTCATTTCTGGTTGTGTAGTCTAAATTGCGTATCATTTGGTAGTCTCTTCATACTTGGCTATGGTTGGTGGAGAGTGAAAAGTATATGTTGCTTTTATTTATTTATTTTTTCGGTGACAAGTACATGTTGCTTTTAGCGTGAGTGTATATTGCTTTTTAGCACTTGTGACTTTGTGTTGAACAATGGGGAACTATTTCAAATTTGGATGTCTTCTGTTTATTGTCGTTGTCTTGAAGAATGTTTGGGCTTTTGCATTATTTCTTTGTACTTCTGTGCATGCTAATATATTTCTATATACAGGCATTGGGAATCTTTCAGCTGTCATTTTATTTCCCTTACTTATTCATTACTTTAAGTTGGGTGTGACTGGCGCAGCCATTTCTACTGTCCTCTCTCAGTAGGTCTTTTTCAAGGACATTGATTTCTTACACTATATTTCTTGGCTTATTTTAACCATAATTTTGCTGGAAATTTGATATCTCAGATATATTGTGACCCTATTGATGATCTGGTGTCTGAATAAGCGAGCTGTATTATTACCTCCAAAGATGGGAGCACTACAGTTTGGTGGTTATATTAAGTCTGGTTAGTTATTGTCCCCTTACTTGGCTGTTGCCATGTTGCTTACTTATATATAGTTGAAATCTCATCTGAGGGCGTGTGTTTTGTTCTCTGAAAAAAATATTCTCTTCCGAGGAAAAAATAAAAATAAAGGGAGAAGACAGCAATCAAGAAGCCAAATGATATATTGGAAAATATTTTCAAAAAAAATTTCAAGAACAAGTGCCCACGTACAATGTTATTTCTTACTGTTTCTTGCTTTAGTCTTGAGAAAATAGCACTATTTTAAAGAAGTTAATTTCAAAGGTTTATTTCTTACTTGCTGATAAATTTCCCCCCTGGTAGAGTGTAGTGTTATTTGTGCCCTTGTCACAATTAGTCAGAATATGAAACTGACTTGCTATTTTCTGTTTTTCGTTATATTTCTATCTTTTTCAGAGTAACCGGTTTAGCTCTCTGTTAGTTTCTGATGTGGTTATCTCTTTATGGTTTATAATCTGCCACAGGTGGCTTCCTTATTGGAAGAACACTTTCTGTTCTTATAACCATAACATTGGGAACATCAATGGCTGCTCGTCAAGGTCCAGTAGCTATGGCTGCACATCAGATATGTATGCAAGTGTGGTTGGCTGTTTCCCTTCTCACTGATGCTCTGGCTACATCTGCTCAGGTATCGGGTTCTAAATCTTGTAATGTTGGAAGTTTTCTTTCTCTTGTAGTATGATCTCTAGAATTTGTTTAATGTTGTTATAACCCTAAAGGTATTTTGCAATTTAATAACTTGATCAACAAAAGGCAATTATAACTGAATACAGTTGAGCTGCTCCCGTCGAGTTGTACTCCCATTTAGAAGACATCTATCATAAAACCTTTTTTGAAAAATGGTTCAGTTTGCACAAGACACTGCATTTCACAAATTTTTAGTTGTTTATTCTTGGCTTTTATTTACACACACACACACGCACACATTCATATGCCTTAATTTATTTATGTGACATATAGGCTCTTATTGCAAGTTCTGTATCCAGACGTGACTACAAGGTTGTGAAGGAAATTGCTCATTTTGTGTTACGAGTAAGTTTTTTTCAATTTTTTATGCCACCGGGATAATCTTTGCTCTTCAATACCTTTCGTTTAATGGGTATTTAAGCATCTAAATTAGCTTATGTGCCTACCTTTTTAGATTGGACTGCTCACAGGTATCTGTTTGAGTGCAATTTTGGGTGCATCTTTTGGACCCTTAGCTACCTTTTTTACTAAGGACCCTGAAGTCTTGGATGTTGTTGGTATGGGAGTGCTGGTATGTTTGATATGTCTTGTTAATTGGTTCAGCTTTTGTTTGCCTGCCACTGTATGTTCCTCAAACAGTACATTACATTGTCATTTGTTATTGTTATCAGTTTGTCAGTGCTTCTCAACCTTTTAATGCTCTGGCATATATCTTTGATGGCCTTCATTTTGGGGTCTCTGATTTCCCATATGCAGCTTATTCCATGGTAGGTTGCTTATGCCATAATGTCTTATTTAGGCGATAATGCTTAATAAATTTGATTGAATTTAATCTTTTTAACAATATGTCTGCAGATGTTAGTGGGAGCAGTGTCCTCAGCAGTTTTGTTATTTGCACCTTCAGTCATTGGCCTTCATGGGGTATGGCTGGGCTTGACTCTCCTAATGGCCCTTCGTACAGTGGCTGGTTTTGTCAGGTAGAGTGATACATTACTGTTAAACAAAATCTCCCTATCCATGGGGTGGAGTGAGATGTGCTAATACTAGATAGCTATGATTACTCAATGTAATGAACTTGACTTTTTCTAGTGTTGTTTATTTTACATTTCAGATTACTGTCAAAATCTGGTCCTTGGTGGTTTCTACACGATTTACGAATTGCCTAGGTCAGTAGACAATTCTATAATTGCTTTTTTGTGTTATGGATCATTAAAATGTATTATGTTGATGTCGTAGGAATTAATGTATAAATGGTGACTAGGAGACGGCTATAATGCTAGCTTATTGTGCTTTGGATGACTACTGTACTTAGGGATTCTAGTTGCTAATGTTTGATGTTTTATACTATTGACCTATAACTACAACGTTGCATGTCAGATTAGAACTAGCTAGTTTCAGTTCTCACAAAGGGTTTCCCTTCATCTCTTTCTCACTTCACGTATTAGAGCCTCAAAGGAGGCAAGAACCCTTGGTTTCTACACTTTTCCTGTGCCTTGTTTGAACAATCAACAGCACAACCACTTCCTTTGTCTTTGTTTGGCGTGGCCCATCCGCATTCACTGATCTTCAGTTGATGCCTGTGCCCCCATGCACCATACTGGAAGTTATAAATTGTTGCCCATATGCTTCTGTATTGGAGCATGCAGCACTTCCTTTTCAGTTGCCATCAGCATGGAACTGATTGCCAGTCATTGTATAGTCAACTCAGGCCTTATTCCCTCCTGTTTTGCTGCTGCTCTTTTTTCCTTCCAGCTTTGTACTAAAATTTAGCGAACCTCTGTTCCTTCCAAATTTTCTTGTCTGCTACTGCGCATGCTTCCTTGGCCCAAAAATCAAAGCACAAAAGCATGTCAACCACTGATTTTGTTACTCAAATTAGTAATATTTACTTTTCATCCCTTTGATTTTAGGGGCTCAATTATAGCAGCCCTTCCAAATTTTCTTGTCTGCTACTGCGCATGCTTCCTTGGCCCAAAAATCAAAGCACAAAAGCATGTCAACCACTGATTTTGTTACTCAAATTGGTAATATTTACTTTTCATCCCTTTGATTTTAGGGGCTCAATTATAGCAGCTCTAATCGTATATAGCCCGCAGCTTTTCTCAAAATATTTTTCTTTTTCTCTTCCCACTATTGCTCTTGATAATGGGTTTAAAAACACTCGCTAAAGGTACTGGTTAAGCTTGATCTCTTTTGGTAACTGTTGGACTCTGTCCTTTACATTTCTGGTTGCCCCTTTAATCTTGTTTCCTATGAAAATTTATTCAAACTCTCGATCGCTCCACTGTGTTTTTGATAATTCTATTCTTGGACAGGGTCATGGTACGGAACACATGATTGGCATCAACTGAGTCACTGGGGTTCATCATATGGTCCCATACTTTGTCATTTTTGCTTCCACTGATTAACCTGAAGTTCTTCACAATCATCTTGTTCATTCTAATCTGTCCAAGCTTTAAAAGATGGTCCTACTCTTTCCGCTTCCTTCTTTATATTGTTAATCTTGTGAACTTGGTAGACATACTTGTAACTCGTATCCATAATAGAGCTAGGTTTCCTTTTTCTAATAATATTGGTTCATGGTGTTCTGCCTCGGGATTTTATTGTGTTGTCACCGCTTATCAACGATTGTGCTCACTGCACCTGGTTATTTCTCATGAAAGCTTGTTTGAAGTTGTTCGCTGTAGTTAGACAGCTTTATGGTGAGGTTCATTTGCACGTCATTATTTCCATTCACACCTTACACAGTGGCAATGAGTGTAAATATTTATTCACTATCTTTCAAAAGATATGTTTAATAGGGAATTGTTCATTAATCATCTTGTGCTTGTTCTCTAGTGAATGGTGTTGCGGAATGTAAATTTGGCCCCTGATAGAGATTGCCTGTTCTGTGTTATCTCATCAGCTGCATGCCTTCTGTTTCAACATTAGGTACCTTACCGAACTCTGTTTCTTAACCGACCAACGTTTCCTCTCCTTCCTCGTGTCTTCGGCAATATTTATGTTTTTCATGACTTAACCCCTGGCAGGACAGACTCTGCTTAATTCTTTAAATATATTTTCATGGGTTATTTGCATGAAAGAAACATATTGAAATTAATGTTACTTTATTGGAGAAAAGATATTCTCTGTTTGCATTGTGATGTGGTTTGTCAGACTCCAAATCTCCAATGATCGTTTAGCACACGTTCTCACTAAATAAATATTTGAGGTCCTTGCGTTGCCTATATTTGTAATAAGATTTGTGCATGCGATATGTTCTAACTTGAAGGAGAGTCTTTGATTTAATGTATAATGTCTGGCGATTAAAAAAGAAAAACTAAGGGGGGAAATGACTGTGGTGTTAGTTGTATTTGCAATGAATGATGACTCCAATAATTATTGTTTAATAACTATATCTTGGATTATTGACTTGTAAATACAACGTGGTATGTATATCAAAATTTATTGACCATATTTCCCTCTATGGCTTTTCGTTCATCTTATTTCACGCAAGTCATCAAGATTTTTCCCCCTAAAGTTGTGTAATATTTCTTATGATTAGTCGTTCTGTCCTTGCTTGTTGTGTGTTTATACCTGCTGAGTTTTGCTTCTCCTAAATAAGATGTTCGGAGAAGGAATGAATGAGAGTAAATGAGAAAAACTAATTTAAAATATTAATTCCCTAATGTGTTGACCACATCTTCACAGTTGAAATTGTACATACGGTCTGGCATGTTGCTGTCTCTCTGCAAGTGGGTATGAGGTAGTGTTAGTTACTACTCCTTCGGTCAGTCAATACTTCTGAGAACAAACGTAAGGCTGAAATTTGCACATGATCTTGGCTGTTTGACCGTGTGTAATTTCTTTGTCTGACATTCTGTTGACGGAAGTTGAGACATGGCTGGTGTATAAATAAAATTTCTTGGTTCCATTGCGTATGCGTAATCTTTGCTTTTACCGAATCGAAAAGTTTAAGTCGTGAGTGGATAAATTTCTTGAGATTTTCTTTTACCTTTGTAGAGCATTTGAACCTGTGAAGCAGTTGCCTTTTCCTCGTTCCGTATTCTGAAGGAGAAAGCTGATGGAGCGCTGGAATTGACACTTGAAGATGGTTGTATTCATCAGATGCTTCATTTTTTTTTTTGGCCAAAAAAAAATCGGATGCTTGATTTTTATGTTAAATCAATCAAGTTGGCCGTTTGACTTCCCGCTCTCATATTGCATAAATAAATTGGGACCCTTACAAACACTTTCAGTTTTCGATTTTTAATTCTTGGACAAACATCAGAAGGCCTTTAAGCTAACATTTACAGGCTCATGTATTGAAATTAGTCAGTTGCGGTAGAAATGAGAAGTCAGATCAGAGCTAAATATTTGCTTGGTTTAGCCATATCACAGCTTCGTTGGCCCACCGCGTGATGCCTGTGGACGCGGGAACTTGCTTACATGCTTGCGTCAGTATACGAAGCCAAGAGATGCTTCGTTAGTTAAGAGTTACTAGGTTTATAAACACACCTGGTAATAAAAAAAAGGTTTACAAACACACAGGATATGGTTGGGCCAATTGTAAGCAATTAAATTGACTCCTCCGAAGTCAGGAAAGTGGGGGAAAATATAAAAGGAGAGAGAAATACAAACGGGTTAAACGCTTGAAAAACTTGAAAGAACATTTATCATGAGCTCAAAATACCCAAAAAAAAAAAAAAGATAAAGAAGATTGAATAGGAACGATTCAATGCCAGCTTTATAGCGAATTATTCTTAAAATGTAAAACTAGAAAGAGTTACAAATGATGGAAGGGGAGAGTGAGGATAGAGATGCAGGCCTTTGAAAAGAGTAGAGCAATGATAAGTCTTCCTTTTTATTCGAAGCAGGTAAATGTAGTGAAGGAAATCAGGAAGAATAATCCAAAGGGCCATAAGGCTCAAACAGTTCAGCCATGAATCCCTTCTTTCTTCTGGGGTTCCAACCCATGTCCTTGCAGAGTTGGTCGTTGTACCATATATGCAAGGCCCCTATGCAGGACCTCCTGTAGTACTGCCCCGAGTATTCCTTCATGTACTCTTCCCATCTCTTCACTTCTTTCTTCATCTCCTCTATGCTTGGCACTTGGAACGTCCCGTCCAGAAGCTCCGCTAGCCACCGGCATCTCATCTCCGATGTATACAAGTTCGAAACGCTTTCTGAGAACCCGATCACCGCAAGTTGTGGTATCTCTGGATGTATGCATTCTCTGACCACACCACCATTCAATCACCATTACACTCTTCAATTTTCATTCTACAGCTACCTATTGCTTAACTTCATTCAGTACGTAAGTCAACATGACTTGCTCAAGGCCCATCTGATTTTCATATTTTTTTAATTCCTCAATTTCCGTTGTATCTCTTTCAAATATATTTTTATTTGCGAGTATTGCAGAAGATCTGAATTGTGTCAATTTGGATTCAGTTCACAGTCTAAAATAATAAATAAGAAAGACTCGAATATCGTAAAATGGCCTCACCTATAGAGAGGAACTGTTGCATTTGGGGAGCCTCCTATAAGGTCCTGGAAAGTGGGAGAAGCGAAGATATCTTTAAGTTTCTTGTCACCACTAAACCCTGTTGCTAATATTACCAAATCTGTCTTTAGATGTGTGGCTTCCCCATCAATCAGAATTCCCTCTTCGCAGAAGCTAAAGCCCGGAGCTTTCTTTAACACGATACTTCCCTCTTCCACCTTTTCATAGAATTTCTCAGGCACGGATGAGATCAAGCAAGAGTTTATCTCTTGATGAAAGCTATGACGGGGTACCATTCCAAATTTACGCAGTCCAAGCTTCCTTGCAACATGGGTTTCAACGAATTTTGAGGACATCCATCTCTGTTTACGACAAAAAAACATCAACATTTTCATTCACAAAAAAACATCAACATTTTCATTCTTAACTACAGGATCCTTGTTATTATATCAATAATTTATGAGCATTACCAGGGGCGAAAGAATAGTAGCAATGAGGCTAAGTAGGAAGCTTTCACCGGGCTTGTGAACTAGAAGTTCTGAGAAACGAGTAAGGTACAGATAGGCAAGAGGGAGTCCCCAAGGAAGATAATCCGGAATGTTCCAATGCTCATTCCTGTATAAAACTCTACACGGATGTCTCTTCCCTGCATACCATTCATTGTTCAAACAATACCCCAGACACAAGGCACCCAGGCATTAATCAGCTTTAAAAGGCCTTGGTTGAGCGGTAAATAAGTAAGTAACGCACCGTTTACTGCTTGGCACTCCATTGCGATGTCTAAAGCAGACTTCTGGAATCCAACAACGGTGACTTGCTTCCCTTTGACATAGTCAGATGCAATCTGATTATCCATAGAGGCGTAGTCCTTGGAGTGTATCACCGTCCCGCGGAACACGTCTGGGCCTTTGTTTGGAGGGAACTCTGGAATGTTTGGAACATCACTGAATCTTCCGACGCACAGGATTACAAAATCCACGACGTATTCCTGCAGAAGGACCAAGATACAAACCTACATGAGCTCTCTCTGAGAATCAGAACATCATACAATAATGGAGTCGCATGTATGAAGCTAGCTACCTCAGTCAAATCATTGAGGGTGTTCTTGACTGAAACTTTCCATTTTCCTTTGGAGCCGAAAGGCTGGCCTGTGCCACCCCAGAGGTGCCATGCTCTCATCTCTTCCTCGGGAGGGCCTTGGTAGTGAAGGCGTTGGACAAGTGTGTTGAATTTGACGTGGTTAAGGAGGTCAAAGTGGCAGGCGTAAGCGGTGATGTAATGGAGGACCTGATGTTGGTCGGGGAAATCATGGAGGACGGAAGAAGGCCATGGGAAATCAGAGAACTGATAGAGGGGTTTGGGAGTTTGGAGCTTGGTGGTGGCGATGGTTTTGGACCACACACCTCCTATGCAGCTCTTGGCTTCAAACACTATGGGATGGAAGCCCTTCTGCAGCATGTATTTGCACGCCAGCAGGCCACTGATTCCTGCACCCACGATGCCCACCTGCCTCCTCTCCATCCTCAATCTCTTCTTCTGTGCCTCCCTTCTCCACTTTCCCTCTACATATATATATAACCCAACAAGCAGCCACTTTTTGTCACTATTGCCGCCTTACTTTTCACCTTTCCTTGGGGGCTGCAAAACATAGAAGACAGTCTGAGATTTTTTTCTTAATAATTTTTTAGGGAAATCTTTTTTCTCAGGTGTCATGATTTTCTTTAAGAACATGGATCCATATGTTGCGGTAGGAGCACATACTGTGAACAGGAAAAAGATGAGAGAAGATCACATTGAAGGTATTGTGTTTGACGCGATATAATAAACAAGTTTCGGTATGTGTATGTTTGGATTGTCAAAGTGGTGACCAAATTCTTCGGAGTTAGGGGCACATCACTATGCTCATATATGGATCAGTTGAAAATTGGAAGCGAAAGTTTTGGACGTTAGGCTTTGTCCCGTGATCTTGACCTCTCTTCTTGAGGAAAATTGTCCTCGTTTGAAGAAAATTGGGCTGTACTAGTTATGGACGTTTTTTATATCAAGTGCCGTTGCCATATATGTATATTTGATCTGACATGGCGCGTCGATCGACCGAGTCGGGGGAGGATTTTTCCCACGACACATCACTGGCATGTGCAGGGCTAGCTGTACGTGTGGCAACAGATAAGGGGTCGGTGCGTATATATCTGGATAGATGCTCGTTGGTGATCACATGAGTTTTGATTGGGTTGAAAAGACAGAGGTGGGGCGCCCAATCTCATTTTGAGGATTGACCAAAAAAATCTCATTTTGAGGAAGATATTTATGTCCAAGGCGACGCAGGAAAGTGAGAGAACTGTTGTAGATATTGATGAGATAGATGATACGTAAAACCGATCTCACTGCACAAGGGCAATGGGATTACTGTAAACTTCGCAGTTCAACTTTGGAGGCGCTCTCGGGACCACGCTGTTTCCGGCCCTTCCTTCCTTTGGGCTCCAAGTCAGCTACTATCCGATGGATGAGACCAAAACCAGGAGCCCCGAAGACGCCGCTTTGGAAGGCATACTTTCGTGTTGAGAAAAACTGAGAAGATGAAATAACCAAAACGAAGCACGCGCGGCTGAACCCGACATGTGAACGTCTGACAAAGTTAAAATCGGACAGACGGTGCATGCACTCGGCATTTACCATCCAAATTTAATTAGATTGATTCATATTTATTTTTTTTATATTTTTTAAAAAATTATTTTAATATAACAAAATCTAAATTAATACACCGTTATAAAGTTAAATTAATACATATCATGCATTCAGAAAAAGCAGATATATAAATTTAATTAATATTCATAAAAAAGTAAGAAAGGTGCTAAGCTGATTAAAATTTGATTTCTCTAAAAGACAATAATTTGACGTTTTTCAGTAGGAATTTATAATCCTACATTTGATTCCTAATATAAGAGCTAATTAATTAATTTGAATAGTTATTTGTAATAAATAGGTGTTGTCTTTTCTAAAATACCCTTGCTAAATAAGTGTATTGGCTAAAACTACCATTATGAGAAAGACTACCTTGAAAAAAAAAAGAATAAATATGATAGACAACATGAATTGAAGTTTTATATTTATGACCAAAGTAAAAATTAAATAGGTTCTTATATTAAAAACTAGAGGTAGTAATTTGTTAAACTCGTCGTAAACAATTTTAGTTTTACATAGATTTATCATCATGTGAAAAAATGAATGAAACTTCTAAAAACATCGATATTTATTCTAATCACTATTTCACAGATATATTTACGAAATTATAAAATATCTAATATATTTATAATTACATACGAGTTTTCTTGAAAAAGCTAGAGATCCTGATCAAAGCGTTAATTACAAATTAGTCTCCATCAAGATTTAATAAATCTAATTTTTGAAACATTAATGATGAGATATGAAAAAAAAATTATGATTTTATTATATTTTTAGAATTTTAGAATATTTGAATTATCAAGGATATTTGGATTAGTTAGATTTTTATGATTTATTAGTATTTTATTATTAGGATTAGTTCTCTGTGTTATTATTTTCAGTTTTAATTTTATTTTAGTATAAGTAATTCTAGATTTCTCGTTAGACGGCAAATTTGACTATTGAAAGATATTTCAGTTATCGTTTTTTCTCGTCTTGTTTCTTCTTCTCTGTTCTCTATTTCCCTTTCTCTGCACTTTTTTATCTCTTTCCTTCTTCCTGCTTTGCATCAATTTGGCATTAGAGCCAGGTTCTCTCCTTCCCTGTGTTTAGACTTTCTTCTTTTTATCCATACACGTCTTTCCTCAATTTCTTTTAGAACCCGACTTTCAACCGTCTGTTCAGCCATTTTTTCAACGATAAAACGCCTTGAAACTAATCCAGCCTGACTCGCCTTGAACAACATGACCGACCACCAAAGTTTCATTGGCGAGAGCCTTTGGAAACGTCCAGAATTAAATTTTCACAAAGATTACACTTTGCCTAGAGTTTTGGCAAAAATTGCACTTCAGGACCCAATTTTGTGAACATTTTACTTACAATCCCATTCAACCATTGTTCAATTTTGGATCTCCTGGCAGCCAAATATAATCATCATAATACTATTGGAGTAATTTTTAACATACAAGTTACTATTTTTGCTTCTGTCTATTATTGTTACTGTTTTAGGAATATTATTATTTTTATCTGCTTACTTTCATTTTATAATTTAGCAAAAAAAAAAAGAGAGAGAGTGGAAAGAGTAAAAAAAAAAAAAAAGGAAAAAATGGGGAAAAAAAAGAGAAGAATAAAAGAGAACTTATGATGCTGTTGATTTATGAATATGAGCTATAAAAAAAGCATATATATGGAGGGCCGGTATGAATATGACACTTTATTTTGACACTGACAAGGTTTTAGAGATGATGAATATCGATACCATTATTCAGACAATGGTTAATATGAATATGCCAGTCATAAAAAATATAAGTATGCTAATCATGCTTAGGAGAATTATGAGCATGTTGTGCAATGACAACTTGATTGCAAGGTGCGAATAGAACAATTTGAAGCAAAACTTGATGGCTAGTAGCAAGCATGTGACAATGTGTTTGATAAGTTTGAAAAGAGAGTGGATGAGAGAATTGATAAGCTTATAAAATTTTTTCAATAAGTCATAGAATTAAATAGAAGAGGCTTTCCAAACAACCAAGCCAATAAAGTTAAAAGCTCCTTTACTAGACACGGAAGAAGATATCATCAATCTAACTAAAGTGGCACTTCCAACTCATCTGGAGTCCATTACTCAACATGCACCGTTGGACCTGCTTGTGACTGAAGTAAGTGAGGTCTCTAATCTTGTTATCATTAGCGATAATAATTTTGCGAGGGATGATCCAATTGTCCAACTGGCAAACAAGGTGATTTCTTCTCAGATTGTGGCCAGTAAAAATCAGTCTCATCATTTACAATGCCACCTTATCTGAAAGTTGCACCTCCCAAGATTGCTCGGTTGCCAAATGAATTTTTTCAATAGTATTTTGTCTGTTGGAGAGGTTTTCCAGATGCTCTCCAAGATCAAGCTACTCACTCATGCCATTGTTTCATTTTCTGGTACCTCACCTGTTGGAAAGAATTTCCAAATTGAAGTATCATATCAAAGTCTTATCCCGCCCTTACCTCCCTAGCTTTGCGCATCACTTTGACTTGTCTAGAGCCAAGTTCTTCAAGCTGGGAAAAATGATAGGATATGGAAAGAAATAATTATGATTTTATTATATTTTTAGAATCATAGAATATTTGAATTATCTAGGACATTTAGATTAATTAGATTCTTAAGATTTATTTAGATTTGTCAGTATTTTATTATTTTATTATTAGGATTAATTGTTGTTGTTGTTATTTTCAATTTTATTATTATTTTAGTATAAGTAATTCTAGGTTTCTCATTAGACAGTAGATTTGACTATTAAATGATATTCCAGTTATCGTTTTTTTTTTAGCTTGTTTCATTTTCTCCGTTCTCTATTTCCTCTTTCCTCTTTCTTCTTCCTGTTTTACATCAATTATTTTATGGTCCAATTTCTTTAATGCCTGTTTGAAATGGAGTAAAATTTTTCAAGAGCAGTTTTTAAATAATACTCCCTCCGTTTCTTATTATAAGAGACAAATAACCGAAGTACATTGATAAAAAAAACAGTTAAAGTTAGTTAAGAACAATTATGTATAAAAAGTATAATTTTTTTCCAAAAATGCCCTCATTAATAAGGAGAGAGAGCATGAGAGATAACAATTAAATTATTAAAAGAAAGAGAAGTGGGAGGGAGAGAGAGTGTGAGTTGGATATAATAAATATGGGTAAAATAGTAAATCAACACAAAAAAGTAGAGACAACTTGTAAGTGTCTCTTATATATAGGAATATGGCATAAGTATCAAGTGTCTCTTATAATAAGGAACGGAGGGAGTAATTTACAAAATATGAAATAAATATATGAAAAAAGTTTTATATTGAAGCACTTGGGATTTAGGAGATAAACAACAAAGTCTATTTCGTTCCGTTAGAATATAGTTCTAGCTCGCTGTCTTTATTGAGGCTTAAGCTTGTCGTATTTACAAAAATCTATTTCAAAAGCGGAAAGATGTTAGTGCTATGGGTAATTTTTGCCAATCAATAAAATGCAGTGGAGCTAATAATGTTCATATAGTTTGGTGCCTTGAAATCTTCTAATATGCAGAAATTACGTATTTAGTCCCGCTTATAATTTCAGACTCCTCCGACCTTGGAAAAAAGAATTGAATGTGCTCCACGTTTCCACGCCCGAATCCTAAATCAATTATAGATTATACGAAGCGGGAATAAAATCCAATGTGTTGGCTGGTTTCGGTGCGCATCCCAATAGCATGGTTGACTCTTACCTGTCACATTTCCTTCCACGGGCTGCACGCAAATACGGACTACATGCAACACGCCCCCACAGGAAGCGTCAATCCAATAATTATTGGAACCGAAACAACAATCGAATCCATTAATGATTGACGATATTACTTTAGTAGACCCGAAAAATGGACAGCATACAGGAAGTGTCCTCACGAATTCAGTGTCGTGAAGACCCACGGGAAAAGAATTAGTGGACGTTGGCAATGACAGCCTGGATAAGCTCCTGAGTAGTGCTGTCACCGCCGAGATCTTTGGTGCGGAATTTGCCCTCCGATACGACCCGCCTCACGGCAGTCTCACGACGGTCGGCAAAAGAAGGGAACTGAAGATGCCTCAGCATCATTGTCGATGACAGCATCAAAGCCACTGGATTTGCCCTCCTTTGCTCCACTACCCTCTCATTCCCCACGCTCCCTGCTGACGCACCTTGCTCAAAGACTGCATGTTCCGCCCCCATGTTTCCTGACGTTACCACAGTGTCTCGTCAGTTATTTTCCGCATTTATCTCTCTTCTTGAGCAACAATTTTCTTAGTCCTATAATTTCACTTAACTTCAGTTTGGTTCATAGCGTTTCATTTTTTTTTTAATTATATACTACCTTCTATCTTTAGTATAAGACTTTGTTTGATTTTTATTTTGATCCTAAATATAAGATCCCAATCCACTTTGTCTCTTATATTTATCTATTTTTTTCCAAGGTAATCATTGTAATAATGGTAATTCTAACCAATACACTTGATTAGAAAGAATACTTTAGGAAAAACAACACCTATTTATTACAAATAACTAACTTAACTTATTTTTTTAATCTCCTCAAATTAGTCAACTAGTTATTATAAGTAAAACCGGAGGTAGCATATTATATTCATATCTTAAAATTTAAAAATCTGTATTATATTTTGCTTGCTGGACTCTGTCCATGTCATCTCCAGTATCTATACTTGTATCCTTCATCCTTGCTTCCTAGTGTTCCTAGTCTCTTCACTCACCTATTGTCTTTTCCCTCGCAGGGGTCATTCCCCACTTCACTCCATGCGTGGGTAATCCATATCACTTCAATGAATCATATAAATGGCTAAAATACAAAATTGGATGACATCTAGAAGCAGTAACTCAGGCTGTCGTATAAAATAACAAATATAATAATTACGTATCAAAAGTAATTTATTGCCTCCGGGCATGACCCCAGTGCCTCCAGCAATACCAGCTGCTGTGTTTGCCACTAGATTGCCATAAAGATTAGGAGTCATCTGCAAAATATTCTAACTCTGTCAGGACACGCTAGAAAAGTCAAATGTTCCATCAATAAAAGTAGGGCTAGATATCATGATCCTCATGGATATAGTACAAGTTACTGTATCAGCAGGAGTATCATAAAAAAGTAATTTTAGCCTAAACAAAAAGCACAACTAAAACAATCAACAGGGAGAGAAACCTCTCTCCTGGCAGAGAAAAACATATCTGGCACCAAGATACTAGCATGAAGAAAACATAGGGTTGAATTGTGTTCAATCCCGATGGACAGGCATGCCAAGAGATCAAAAGCCGGGGAAACAAGCAATATAATAATAATGTACAGTCAATTCGACTATATTTGATATCATAGAGCTGGAGCTTGATCTGAGCATTGTAGCAGAAAATAACTGTAAATATTCAGTCAGTCATTAAATATTATATGCCATGACTAATGTTAACCCTGAATCTGGATAGGGACCGCAACAAGACGATCAAATTCTTAAATCAATTTTTTATATAGTGACTCTTTCGACACCAAGATTCACTGAGAACCGTTCAAATAGGAATCATGTATACTTATGACGACATTGTCTGCAATAGATGAATCATTAATAGATGTGTTCAGCAGGAAAGAAAAAGCCGATGAACAAAAACAAATCTACAGGGGCGTACCATTACATCACATTTCTCAGGTTTTGAGACAAGTTCCACACAGCAATTGTCCAAAATAATTTCCTTGTACTTGATACTAGGATATTTTGCTGCAACCTCACAGCAAGATTCTAAAAATGTAACTACTAAACACCAACCGAAAGCAAAGAGAATGCAGCCCATATGCATGACAAATCTCCACTTTGATACAGAAGCGAAAAGGTAGAAGGCAATTCTCCTCATGAGAATATAAACAATTCATAGTCAGTGAGAAAAAAAAGAGCTCAGAAATAATGGGAAGAATTAAAAGACAAATAGTAAAGCTTCCTCATTTTTATAACAGTAAAGCTTCCTTATTTGCATTGTATGGCATACTGTTACCCCAAGCACACAGTGTATTTCACACAGCATAGCACTGGACATGCTTAATAGTATATAACTTTTGTATACGTACGTACCTGAATTTAATATAATAACAATACACAGAAAGACCACAACGTTTCATTTTGAGAAAAAGGGGAACAAAACTTCATCCCAACGATTAACGGTTGAGTTACAAAACTGATGTATGAATTCTAAAGTTTGTGGGAGTATTTTGTTGTGTTTCAATTTTAGGTACCGATTTTGTAATTAGATCATTAGTCACAGGTAAAGTGGACTTTTCAAAAGGGGGAAAAAGCTCATCCATAAAACACTGTTCATACAAATTTTCAAAATACCTAATATCCAAATGCATTAAATATGATAACCAATTAACTAGAATTTTAAATTCAGTGTTCATGGACTATTCAAAGAGGTAGGAGTTTTCCGCCCTCTTCACCAGCCATATGCTGCCAACAGCCTTCCCACACAAATGAAGGAGAAAGGAAAGGCAATATTCTCTGAAGTGTTCAGACCCACCTCATGAATTAAGGTTACCATAAATAGAGCTTTGTGAATATAGGGATAGCCCAACGAACGAAGCTACCCCTATGCACGAGGTCAAGGGAAGGTTGGACACACTTTTCGTTTACTGTATGCAACCTTGCCCTGCATTTTTCTGAAAGAGGTTGTCTCCACAACTTAAACCTGTGACCGCCAGGTCATACATTGACTTTACGTGCCAAGGCTCACTCCTTGTGAATATTGAAGGGGGAAAAAAAAGGCACAGTGCCCAATTGTGCACAAAATATTAACGTGGATTGTGAAACTGCAAAAACCTTGTAGCGCATATGATCATGCTCCACAGGGACAATACTGCAATAGTCTTGCATGAGGACAAGGGTCAGACTGCCCAGACCGTAAGCAAATGCAGGTTTAGAGAATGATTATCAGGCATCATTATTTTAATAGAGGATCAACACTAATTCAGGATGGCATGAATATTGTTATTCGTCAGTAATGCTCCATGCCGCTGTTTATTTCACTGATTTAGCGTGTCTCACCATGCTCCTTGGAGCCCAAAAGCTTACTTATTTTACAAAATTATACTTATTGCAAGATCTGAATGTGCATGGCCAAGTTTCTGCAGAAAAGGAACCTCTTAGCAGTTTTTCCTGCAGTGGAAAGGAAACAATAGCAGAAGAGAGAGAAAGCGCGCGCGCACACATATTTTTTATATATATATATATATATATATATAGGTATATATATAAGATCATGGTACCTCCAATCAAAGCCATTATTTTGCATCACAAGAATTAACTTTTTCAACCAAGCCCCTACGAAGTCCAATGCGCACATGCCCTTTTTGGTAATTTGATAGTTGAGCAAACTTTTTTCTTGAGACATTTGCCAAACATAAAACTGGTTTTCAAATTGGATAAAAGCGCTCATCAAATGATTTTACCAAACATAAAACTTTTAATGCAAATCTTGCTCTGAAACAAGGGGAGGGGTGCAAAATTCTTCCTATATCCCCTCCTCTTTCCCCTAAATCCCTCATACCAAACGAGCTGTGAATACCCATGCTAATTTTGTATTAGCTAAAACTATAATTTAATTGAATATTTAATATATGTAACTATTACAATGATTACTTTGAAAAAATAGATAAATATAAGAGATAAATTAGATTAAGGTCTTATATTTAGAACCAAATTGAAAGTCAAACTAGTTCTTATATTAAGAACCAGAGGTAGTATTAAAAGCCTTCTGTTTGTGTAATTGATATCTTAATTAAAAACATTAACATTGTGTTTGATACAAGGTTTTTCAGAGAGAAGAAGAGGGAAGTCGCTACCCTCTCCTCATTTATAAAGGTGAAATAGTTAATTTTTGAGTAGCTATCCTCCCTTTCCCTCTCATACCAAATAAGATATTATTAAAATGTTTCCCCTTCCCTCCCTTCCAATGAATTCAAACAAAGAATCATTAAAATTCCTTCCCTCTCCTCCCCTTCCTTCACCTCCCCTCTATATCTTCCCTCCCTCTCTCTTCTCTTCCATTCCATCCATTAAAATTCCTCACATTCCCTTCTCTTTGTTAAGCAAAATGCGGTGTAAAGTAATTTGCTTTTATTGCATTTTTTGCCATCAATTTGCTTTTATTGTACTCTTCTGGTCCTATTTATGAGATAAAGAGAGAGAAAAAATTTTGGTCATATTTATAGGGCAAGAAGAGAAAATTTTCATCTGAATGTACAATTTTACCCTTCATTTAATACTGTGTTGACTTTATTCTTATAAGTTATAATATATATTAAATAGGAATAAAATTGGGAAGTTCTTAAGTTTTAAATAAAAGTTAATAAAGTGTAAAGTTTTTTTTAGTCTGTATAAAATATGTTGTAAATGAGTTATAAATAAGACAAAAGAATATTTTTTATTAGGAAAGGGGTAAAGAGCTTCAACAACATGTCCCATTAAGTACAAGCAATCGTCCTCTTGATTCCTACTCCCTCCGTTCCTTATTATAAGAGACAAATAACCGAAGTACGTTGATAAAAAAAACAGTTAAAATTAGTTAAGAACAATTAATGTGTAAAAAGTATAATTTTTTTCCAAAAATGCCCGCATTAATAAGGAGAGAGAGTATGAGAGAGAACAGTTAAATTATTAAAAGAAAGAGAAGTGGAAGGGAGAGAGAGTGTGAGTTGGAGAAAATAAATATGGGTAAAATAGTAAATCAACACAAAAAAGTAGAGACAACTTGTAAGTGTCTCTTATATATAGGAACATGCCATAAGTATCAAATGTCTCTTATAATAAGGAACGGAGGGAGTACTAATTAAGCCATACCAGCAATTTTATTGAATTTATTAAAAGCCCCATCACAATTAAATTTCAGCCCTTTCCAAGGGGCATCTCCCATTAGCAGCCTTAATAGTCTGGTTATTGGGATCCTTACTTTGATTTTTTCAAACTGTTGAAATAATAAAAAAGTTGTTATAAATGATGTAATCAAACTCAATAAAATGTCGTCAATGCCGTTTTGGAATTTCAAATGTCATTTTATTGAAATTTTTCTAAAATTCTATGTGATTGTCTTTCACTAGTTCAAGAAAGGAAATCTTATGCTTGGAACGCTTGAGTTTGGTGGAGGAAATTCTGCATCTTGTCAGAGCTCTTCAGGGGATCCCAAAACATTGCAATCTCGCTGCTGATTGATGTGCTTATACAACTCCGCTGGAGAAGTGAGGATTTGATGTTGCGAAACCTCTGACTTCATTTTCTTTTGTTTAGATACTGCTGTTTTTTCGGTTTGTTTCTTTCCATTTTTGCTGCTTCTTTTAGTTTTGATTTTCCGTGTTTTCCGCTGTCTGGTGCGTTTTTCATTGCTTTTGGTGTGCTAAACTGCTGATACTTTCCGTTGTTGGCTGTTTTTTAGTGGAGTGAGATTTGTATTAAGGTACCATGAAATATTTTGCTAGAAACACCAAACGTTATAAAGTTTTTTTAGATGCAAAAATAAACATGAAAATTTTAGACTAGTGTAATTATGACTATTAAGTCAACTAACATTGATCGGTTAATGAACATATCAACAAAAAAAATGATGCAAAAATACATATAAAATCTCAATAACAGTGACATTTTTGTATTATTTTAAAAATTTTATATGTATTTTTACACTATTTTTTTGATTTATATATTTGCTAAAAAGTCAACATTAGTTAATTTAATGGCCATGATATTTTAGCGCTATTTTAAAAACTTTATATATGCTTCTGTATGCAAGAAAAATTAATGGTATTAGATCTCTGTGATGAAATTCTTTATAAGTGGATTTGTATTTTAAGCCATGAAGTTTTGCCGTTCTGAGTCCCAAAAAAAGATCTCAAATTTCACGCCCGCACTCCAGACTCTTGAAAGCGAGAGATCGTGGCCTGTGGGATCTCTGGCCCCATGTGACGTGCGACGCCCTTGTCTAAGCCGTGGCAGAAAAATGTACATACGATGTGGATATATGGAGCACGATAATGAATGTTAAAGTCATTTTACCTAAACGACGTCGTCGCGGTCCCTTTTCTCGTCTTCCAGAAAGCATGAATAGCGACTCGGAGGACTGCAGAAGTCCTTGGCGCAAAAAAAAGAAAAAAAAGAAAAAGGACTGCAGAAGTCTGATTTTCAGTTCTGCCAAGCGAAACAAGAGACAATTGAGAAGCTAACTAGTCGAGAATTTGACATGGAGAACACTGCCATATTGAGGGAATGGTTTGATCGAGTTGACTCAGACAGAAGTGGAAACATAACAGCTCTCCAACTCAAGGTTCTTTTTTTTTTTTTTTTTTTTTTGAGTTCCCTTCTCTCATCGCTTTCCCGTTTATTCCGTTTAAGCTGTCTCTGTCTTAAACTTCTTTCATTGAATGAAATTTTTTGATAATCAGAGAGCTCTGTCTGTGGGCAACCTCGAATTTCCCCTCTCAGTTGTTCAGCAGATGATCAGGTTTGGTTTCGCCCTACTTCGCTCTTCGCTTAACCGTGTTATGCTTCGGAGTTTCCTCAGAAATGTGTATCTTGTTTGTTTGATTGTCCTGGATGACGTGATGTTCTGTTTGAAATTTCTCCTGTAGGATGTATGATTTCGACAGGAACGGTACGATGAATTTCGAAGGTGATTTATTACGCCTATTGCCGTGTCTGTATGGCTGTATGTTGGTTTTTAACTTACCTGGTGCCTTTCTTTATTAATATAATATCATGTTACTAGTATGGGCATTTTGATATTGAAGATCCTCATCAAGGAGAAATTTTTGCTGTCATAGTTTGGTGGGGGTGCGGGTGCGTGGTTTGTAAATGGAGTTATGTTAGCATGTTGAAGCTGGACAACGAATGTTTCCCTGCAATGGTAACTTGGATTATGTATGTGTGGACCTAGAAAAAATGCCAAGGGAATGAACAACCAGATGCCTTCCTGATACCATCTTGAAACTCTTATCTAATCATAAGTAATTGAAACGTTTATGTGGCTGATCTCTGAATTAATTGGTATTTTTGGAAAAACAAATTTTTTTTTTATCAGTCTCTCTCTAACCTAAGATTAATGTTTTCCCCAGAATTTGTTGCATTGAACAAGTTCCTTCTCAAGGTTAGTAATTTTTAATTTAGTCCAGATGACATATCTGTAGCCCTTTGGCTGATTTCTGCTAGTGGACTACCTCAATGTTTATGTTCATTTTTTGTCATAATTCAAATTCACCTTACTTCTATGAGGCTACTGCATCACCATTAGCAATGAAGATTCATAAGTTATTCAATAATATTAATACTTATATGTTCATATGACTTTCAATGGTTTTGCAGGTTCAACATGCGTTTTCTGATCTAGAAAGGTGATCTATTAATTTTTCCCATAACGTGTCTTCAGTTTTATGTGAAGTCTTCAAAAGAAAAAAGGGGGGGGGGTGTAGCTCTAGGAGATTTACTCAATGATGAAGACCATTCAGGAAAGCGATCAACATTATGGACTTCTTAAGCCATGGGAGCATGACTAGTTTGAATCTTAATATTGTTTTAACTTGATGGTACATTTATGAGGTGATACTAAGTACTGAATTTGGTTGAAAAGTTTGACACCCATTTTAGTCTCAGATATACTGGTTTTTGGGTGTCAAACAATGTCAGCTTTATTGTTTTATTCTTATTTAAGGAATTTGTAGATTGTAGGTAACACTCTTTGGGTTCATTGATGCAGAGGTCGTGGTTTTCTTGTACCTGAAGATGTACATGAGGTATATGGTCATACATCATTAATGCTCTTGAATATTTGATTATATACCATGCATTGCTAGAATAATACTCATATAGTTCGTTCAATTTGACCTTTAAATTTTATAGTTTTTACTCCCCAAGATGCAACAGCAAAAAGTTAAGCTCCTTTGATGCTGGATATGATTTTTTTGTTTTTTGGGAAACGTTAGCCTTGCTTCTTAACCCCCTGCCTTCTAAGAATAACTAAATGCAGAAGAAGGCCCTTGATTTAGATGCTTGTCAGGATCCAGGAATAAAGTAAACTGGAATCTACATATTCCTGTTTATACTGCATAGGGATATGATTCTCTCTAGTTAATTTTGCTTAATCTCCATATAAATTTTTCAGGCATTGGTTAAAGTTGGTTTCATGCTGGATTCTCCTGCTTTTTATACTGTCTGCGAGGTAAAGCATCTTCATTTTGTCAAAGATATCAGCCGATATTCAGTTTCATTGCGCAAAAAAAAAAAAAAAAAAAAAAAAAGGAAGAAGATATCGACTAATATTCTGTAGTTAGCCAATAAAAAATATATATATATTAATATTTGGAGAAGTTGTTACGTCACTGTCTACATGCTTCGATTTTTATTGTCTTCCCATTTTTTCTTTGATGTTGGGTCAGACAGAGAAATCACTAATGTAGTGTACTTGACCTTTGAATTAATTTATCAATTATCAACGCTGTTGGCTGAATTTTGCCTTTGAAAGAAAACTTTAATTGGTGAACTAATTTGTGCAGTATTGCAATCCAGAATACCAAGCTAACTATTTCTTTTGAATTCTTTAGAGCTTTGATCAAAGTAAGAATGGAAGGTTTCGGCTTGATGACTTCATATCTCTCTGTATATTTGTACAGTCTGCTCGGTAAACATGGTCTTCATTCTTCAAGTTGAGAGTATTATTTTATTTACCTATTCATTAGTTTTCAGGAAGAAGGGTTGGACAGCTATTTATATCCGTACCAGCTTTTAGAAAAAGAAACAAAAAATAGAGAAGTATTGAAGTTTGGATTTACTGCTTGCTGAAACAAGAATCTTGTATTGTGTCTTTCAGGAATCTGTTTAACTCATTTGATGCAGCGAAACAAGGCAGAGTCACACTTGATTTTAACCAATTTGTCTATTGCAGTGAGTACAAACTGATCGACCTTGTATAATTTTTGCGTTTCATTCATTCATTTAAAAATCTTGCATTAGGATTTTGCAGGGTTTAAAGTGGAAATATAATAAAATATTGCTTTTCCTCACTACTTCCTCAATCATCTTTGCTCCTGAAGCCATTGTGATTATACACCGTGTTTTCCGTCTGAGTTCTGAGTACTTTCTGACTGTATTTCACAAATCACCATTTTGTTAACTTTTCTATCTGTTGTATTGCTATCTTAACTCGAATTATCGATTCAGTTCCTCCTGATTTTTATTCACTATCTCAATCCAGCCGGCAATTGTAGAATATGATTCAAATATCTGATCGGCTGCGAAGATGACGTGGATGCTGCATTTTGTACACGCCTCCAGAGATTCTTGGATCAAGCTTTAATTATGATGTCTGCGTAATATTCTGGAAAATTTATGAAATCGCAATATCCATTTGAATTTGTTATAATAATTCTCGCGTAGAGCAGATTTTGTTATTGGAATGAGGGCATGTGATTGTGAATAATGAAGAATGTGTGACATGGTCCATCATCCGGACGCTCAAGTTTTTCCATTTTTAATGGAATTTTATTTTTACTTTAATAACTGAGATACAAATAGTATGCGAACTTGAAATTTCAAAAATAAAATGACAAGATATTGACAGATGAGACTTGTGGAACCAAATAAGACGCATCATTACTGGTGAATAGAACGTATTATTTATCTCTTATAAGGAGACGGTGTAATTGAACACCTTAAAGTGAATTTCAATGATTTGCTTGTTTTATTTTTCATTTCAAGTAAGGAGACATTCGGCGAGCTCATAAATTTTACCGAGAAGGACAAGGATACAAATAAACTAGGAATTAGGACATTACATTAACGATTCTCAAGATAAAACCACGAGTGCTCTACGTTTGTGATTGTAGGTTTAATTCAGACGAGTTTCAAACATATTGTGCAATCATTCTTAACAAGGGAAAAAGGAAGGGGGGGGGGGGAGGGGATGCAATAGTGTATTGGATTGAGTTTAGGTTGATTGATCCGGTCAAAGTTCGAACGCATCTTTAACCATAATGGCACTAAAAAAACAAAAAGAAAAAGACGGGAGAGATACTTAAAGATGCTCATAACTGTAACAATCAAAAAAAGGATGGAAGAAACATGATGCAAAATTCCTTCAACATAACAGCTGCGATATGCAAAAGATATTGTACTGCTAAGAAGGGAAAAAGGAAGGAAGGGTGCAGCAGTGCACGGGATTGAGTTTAGACTGATTGATCAGGCCAAAGATCTAACACATCCTTAACTATAATAGCACTAAAAAAAGGGGAAAGAAAAAGACATTAAAGATATTTAAAGATGCTCACAGCACGAAACTGACGAATGTACCCCAGCTATTGCGGAGCTCATGGGTTTCCTACATGGACTAAATCTATGCTGGGCTAAAGGTTTCAGAAGCATCAGTATGTTCTCGGACTGTATTGAGGCAATTAATCTGGCAACTAGGGGATGTGATGATAATTACCCTTTCAAAGACTTAGTGAATGATGTGAAAATAGCTATACATAGGGATTGGCATATTATTTTTTGGCATATAGAAAGAAGGGAGAGGATTCCCTTAGCAGATCTTTTAACAAAGATATTTTATAGGATGAGCAGCAATTTTTGTGTCTTTGATGTCCCTTCCCCTCTAGGTTTGAAGGTGGAAAGTGATAATGGACAATAGGCTTGGTTAGCCTGGACTTGTATCTTGTTTCCTATTATTTGTCTCTCAGTTATCATTCCAAAAAAAAAAGATGCTCACAACTGTAATAACAAAAAAAAAAAAAAAGAGGGGAAAAACATGATACGAAACTCCTTCAACATAACAGTGCAATATCTGCGGCGATATGCAGAAGATATTGTACTGCTAAGAAGGGAAAAAGAAAGGGGGGGGGGTGCAACAGTGCATTAGACTAAGTTTAGATTGATTGATCTGGCCAAAGCTCGAAAGTATCATTAATCATAGTAGCACTAAAAAAAGGGGGGGAAAAAAGACATTAAAAATACTTAAAGATGCTCATAACTGTAATGACCAAAAAAGGGATGAAAAAAACATGAAGCGAAATTTCTTCTGCGATATGCAAAAAACATGATGCTCATAACAGTACAATATCTGCTGCGATATGCAGAAGATAGAGTTTTTTTTTTTTTTTTGACCAAGCAGAAGATAGAGTACTAGTCTACGTGCTTCAATCAGAGCCCAGCAAAAACAGGGCTGGTTTCATATTTGCGGCATAACCATACTTCCACGTGCTGTACTTCCTGCAGACTCCTGTGAGTTTTCCAGTCCCAGCCTTCTGATGGAAAGTAACCATCATTCTTGAGCACTCTCTGTCGGCACACAAGATAAATACCCGTGAGCGATAATGACCGTTCATATCTCATGAAACTTAATAAACATTCAACACAAGGAACACTGGCAAGAGCAACTCACAGAAGCTGGTCTTCCGAGTAATTGGTGTACCATTCACTCGTCTTTGTCCACTGCTTAAACTGGTACAGACTACACTGAGCTGTGTAAATGGCTGCAGCAGCTAGCAAAGATGGTGAAAACTTGAGCATTTTGTATTCCACCAAGCAAAGCTCGATTATGAAGGAGGACGAGAGTTCCAGCTGGTTCAGTTCCACAATAATAAGCCTTTACTCGGCGGTGACATCAAATTCATTCCGAAATGGTAATCTTGGAACAGTATCACTCACCTTTTTGTCAAATTGAGCTGCTTTAAGAAATCTCCTCATGAACACATATGGAGTAGGCACACACAGGTTGAATTGCAACGTGTTCATCATTAACTTCTCCTGTCAGGACAAGTCTATCAGCTGCATTTCAAGGATGGGAGGGAAGCAAGGGTACCAATAAATAAATGAAGATCTCACCATATTTATAACTTCCTCCCTCTTGTATGCCTTGTCTGTTATCAAGATAAAATCCTCAACAGTGGGGACAGAAACCTCCTCATATTTGCAAGCTATTAGCATGGCTGTTACACCGACCAACTGAAGCTTCTTTCTGATCACCGCCTGACGCTCCAAGAACCTGTCTATCAGACTGACGGTAAGGTACAATGTCTCCTCCATAAGCTCAAATTTGTAGTGAACCTGTTTGATGTGGATCAAGATCAACTGTAAGTCGAGAGGGCTCATATTCCATACTCGGGAAATCATGAATTTCAATTGAATTCAATTTATCTTAAAATCGAATATCCTTTTCTGTCCTATGTTAAAATCAGAAGTTTTTGGAATATTAGATCGTAACTTGCAAATTTCATAATTTATATGGATTGATATCGATGAGGAAAATTGATACTGCTATTGATAGATCTTCGCGTGAGCGTGAAAACTTTTGGGACTAAGATGTCGTACCTCGATAAGCCAGTCAATGAGGATAGCCCTCATCTTCTCATTGATGTCAAACTGGCCAGCCATGTAATCTGGAGAGGCGCAGCTGGTATTCTGCAAAAGAGCTAATGGGTCAACATACTATAGCAACTTTTTTCCTTATTCTTCATATTTTCCATTGAACTGACCAAATCATGAAAATAAAGCTTGAAGCCCGTTTCATATCCTGAGCTACGCTATACGAAATGCAAGGCGTTCTACTACTGTTCAAAGTCAACTATATCATTTTCTATAGACTGCCCAGGGGAAGGTGCAGATCCGGCTGTTCAGATGATTTCTATTGATACTTGCTTTCCGAAAATCCCATTTTCCATTCAACTACTAAAAAGAGTGCGTCACTTTCTGAGCTTTGTTTGGCTATAAGCGAGTCTCCCCCACTACAAAATTCAAATCTTACCTCAATTTTCTTATAAAATTCGTAGATCTCATCTATATATTCAACAACTGCTAGTGGATCTTTCGTATCACTAACATCGATGTCCATAACGGGCTCCTCCACGTCTTCCATTTCCACTTCCTCCTGCGAGCAACATACCGTGCTATTATTTTTGGTTTAAGCGTATCATGCAAAGCTATACATGAGATGAGTTGAATATTAAAGCACTCACTAATCTGTCAATTTCGTCCAGCATTGCTTCCGTGTGCTTCACAAACACTGGAATTCCATTGTCACCAACATCCTCGTATTCTCCAATATCTGTTATCTCGCAGTCCAACCGGTAACTGGAGTTCGGAGCCAATAGGCTTAGTTTTTTAGTTTCCTGAAAGGCAATCAACCGCATTTGTAACTATTCAAATATGTTCAAAGAAAAGCCAGAATCAAATGATCAGGTCCATCATCTAAATTTGGTCTGAAGAGAGTACTTCAGGGCAGTGCTGAACTGTCTGTGCTGTATATCTTCTGTAAGAAAAGAATACCAAAAGCAAACTTATTAATCAAAGGATCAAGAGACAATCAACTGAACCTTCATAAATAAGTTGCAATTCTTTTCAATGGTATTTTTGATAACTCAGGAGGAGAAAAAAAACATAGAGAGATGATATATCGGCACAAGACTAGATTTTCAGAGTTTTGCCTCAACATAAATAGAACTTACCCTAATGGGTCTCTTCTGTTGACCACACAAGGCTTATGAGTAGCCTCCATAATATTCTGATTGATATTGCTCAGAGCCCGACGATTACTCTGGGTCATCTCCTTCATAAACTTGATGCCCTCCATTCTTGAACAGCCTTTGTAATTAAAGACCACAAAATATAAGGGAGCGAAGAATCAGTCACAAATTCAAGAGATAAACGTCCCTTGGTGTATGCTCCAGCTTAATTATTGTTTCATGAATAAAAAGGATAACCAGTAAAGATCTTTTTTTCCTTCCCCAGATATCAAAGTTGTTAACCTTGAAGATTTGATGAAGGCATCAGCGAATCCAGATGGTCTTGGTTTTCCTTTGAGCCGCCCATTTATCTTCAGTCCGAGCAGATGCAATAGCTAGACATTTTCGGCCACAAAAAGAAATCAAAAACCATAAATCATAAAACAGGAAAGAAAAGGAAAAGCCAAGATCCATGACAAGAGGGGAAAAAGAATAGCAACAAAATCAAGATAATTGAGTATGAATGGGATAAGATAATCCACCAGCATTCAAGAAGGATTGCCTCTGATGCGTAAGCAGTCAGCTTATCTTCAGGAAATGCCCTGCCCCTGTGAGGTTTCTACTCAGACACACGCGAACTCTCGCTCTCTCTCTCTGTGGCTGAAATTAAAGGAACAAGAAAAGATTTAAGAAACAAAAGGAGAAATTGAGACGGAGATGTCGGGGAGAGACAATTCATTTTTAAAAACAACGGCTACTAAATAGTGGCCGTTGGATCTGAGTAAGAAAGGAAGAGTCGCGATGGTTTTTTTGCCAACGGTAATGTAGCTTTTCTGGCTTGTGGTTGGGTTTCAAATAACATTTGTTTTCATTGCCGTGGTTGGGCTTTATTTCAAGTTCACACCCGTTTTGACGCTCGTCTCCCTTCACTCCTTCTAATGTATATAATATATTCATTAAAATTTTAAAACGATTCAGCTATTAATAAAAATTACTGAATTAAACTATTATTCTCCCTCAACATCCCAAAATAATTTCATTCTCACATATGCTGTATAAATTAAAGTATACTTAACTAATTTTATAAAGAAAAAATCTTCATAAAAGAAATTTTAGGGATATTTTGATCATTACATTCACCTTTAATTTTTATTTCTGTATAATGTTTTTCTGGTACGTGCTCTCTGTATGATTGTTACTTAATATTTTTTATATTTTAATATCAAATCAAATATAATTTCATGTTAAAAATCACCATTATATAAAATACAAAATGTATAATAAATATTATTTTCCGTTGTATCAAAAAAATGTATAATAAATAAATTTACAACGAGTATTAACTATAAACAATGTAGCTCATCATTCATACCTCTAATCCTTAATATAAAAGCTAGTTGACTAATTTGCATAGATTAAGAAAGTTTATTAAGTTAGTTATTTGTAATAAATAGGTTTTCTTTCCTAGAATATCTTTGCTGATCATATGTATTAGCTAAAACTACCATTTGATAGAATCTTTAACATATACAACTACTACAAAGATTACTTTGAATAAAATGGATAAACATGACAAACAAAAGAGATTGATGTTTTAAATTGAGAATTAAATTAAAAGTCAAATTAGCGCTTATATTAAAAACCGGAGGTAGTATATTAAAGTAGATCCCCAGCTAAATTTTTACCCAAAAAAATCCCGGATAAATGATTGCAATTTCTAGATCTAACCTTGCAAATAATGTAATAGCTGCGGATGCATTTATTTTTTTGGTTGAAAAATGCTCCAAATAATTGGTCAAGGTTAATTACGCATTTTTTTCAATTTGTTGCCAACGATGCATTTTAAATCTCTCCCCAAATACATTATAAGCTATATTAAAATACATATGTCATGCCAATCAACTCTGCTTGAAAATAAAATAGGTTTTAGATTTTTCCCTCGTTCATACTCATATGGTGCAACTTCTAACATATAAATATTCTTGAAAGTTTTGTTCCCAATTGGATCCGATAATAATTGAATTTGACTCAGTTAGATAATCATAAATATACGCTAATAATAAATAAAGGAAATATATAAAAACAAAAGATGTAATAAATATCTAATGTGATGTTTTATAATTTTTTTTGCTGGGTATCGATATTCTCCTATTAAAAACAATCCAGTTCGATGCATGACATCTGCCCTGCTATTTAATTTCTAGTGGGCAACAAAAGATGTTTACGCCAATATTGAAATCTTTTTGCCCAATATACCCTAATTTTATTAACATCTTCTTGCTCCATCCATACAACCATAATTCTTTTCATGCGAACTCATACACTTCCTAAGCCCAGCATGAACCTCATCTGCAAGGTCATTAAGCCCATTCGTGACAGACCCTCATCCTGATGTTGGGATAGAATGATTTTTTTGACCAGGGGAATAGAATGATTTGGATTGACATAGTTGGTGACCTGGTCACAATGCATGCGCGCCCGAACACACGCACACATCCTACATTGCAGCAAGCAAATGTATTTTGAAATAGAGTAGAAGGACGCGAAGATGATCTTTTTCTCCCCTCACATTTCGCATCTAAAAGAGTGGCATCCCGTTGCAATTTTAAATTTCTTGGGTAAAATCTAAAGAATATCAGCGAGTGATCCAAGACAATTCACAACTACAAGGAATGACTGATTTTGTTCATTCCCATTTTTCCAGCTGGCCGTGACCTTTTCTAAGCAGCTGCCTGCGTGCATTTAATTTCTTTTCTTTCCCTTGTATATATTTTTATGATTTTGTATCCCGCTCCATATGTCACTCATCAGCTGAGTTTACCTTAGGTGGCAAAAAAACCAAGTTTACCCTAGGAAAAAGTTAAAAGGAAAACCTGATACGAAGCAACGGAAAATCAGTGTTGAGTTGTGGTTCATGAAGTCATTTTCCCACGTCCTTCATTGTACGCATCACTATTTAACAGGTGGCGGAAATGTCGGGCATCTTTTCTATATATGAGGCCTGAACTCAAAGAAAGAAGCAACAGTCCTACAGAAACCGGAAGATAGCAGCCGAGGGGGAGTGCCCAGAGACCAGACTCAAGGCCCAATAGTTTGGACCCAATCATTAAATTAATCAAAATTAAATTAAATTAAATTAAATTAACCAGATAAGAGGATCGGAGGAGGAGGAGGAAGAAACCGCCCACTTCAACCGAGACGTTACAGTAACCGCTTGGTTCAATCCATGTCCATGTATAAAAGCCCCTCCTCTTCCATCGTTAAGACTTTTTTGGTGTCTTTCCAACAGGAAACCCACTCTAATCGCAATGTCCAACTCCGACGCCGGTGCCGTTACTGATCCATCCACAACTCCAAGCAGCACCCAGAAACAGCATTCTCGAAGTAAACGAAAGAAACGAATTGCCATCATGGACCACAAGGTGGCTTTCAAGCCCAAATACGCCAAACAACCCCGCCCTGACGCGCCTATGATCACCCGCCCATGCACCGAGTGCGGCAAGAAGTTCTGGTCATGGAAGGCGCTCTTCGGCCACATGCGCTGTCATCCCGAGCGGCAGTGGCGCGGCATAAACCCGCCCCCAAATCTCCAACGACAGCCTCCTCCGGAGAAGCAAACACCAGAACTCATGACCCCAGAAGACCACGAAATCGCGGCCGGTCTTCTGTTGCTGGCGAACTCGGAGGGGGCGGGAGCGTCGCGGTTCGAGTGCTCCAGTTGCAAGAGGGTGTTTGGGTCACACCAGGCTCTGGGAGGGCACAGGGCGAGCCACAAGAATGTGAAGGGGTGTTTCGCGAACGAAGATGAGGAGATGATGATGGTTTTGGAAGAGCACAAGTGCAGCAGATGCCTGAGGGTATTTCCGAGTGGGCAAGCGCTGGGTGGTCACATGAGGCGTCACTGGGAAAAAGCAGACCCCGAGCCTCCTCATCCTTCCATCCCCCATCTGCATCATCCAGGCTGTGGCCTTGACCTCAATTTGCCTCCCCCTCTCCCCCCTGATTCCTCCTCTCCCTTCGCTCTGGATTTGAGACTGGGACTTTAATTTAAGGTGGCATGATTTCTCATTACTTACTATACTTGCTTACTTATCAAGTTACAGTGTCAGTAGCAATTTGTTTGTGACAAATTCATTATTATATACTCTTGTCTGGATAATGTACTCTATTTGCAGATTAATATATTGACCTCACCCCTTTGGCCATCTTTGTCGACAACTAACTCAGAGTTGTTGATATGTGTGTGTGTGTAGCTGCTGCTTTCCTTATTACTATTTTTGAGTAGGCATTTTTCCTTCGCCGTCGTTTATGTCTGCCCTCACTGATATGTCCAGCATGTTATACCGTCGCTGATCATAGGACCGCAAGCCGAGTCATATGGGTTCATGCAAATAGAGGAATGGTATTATTTGTTCTATTTTGTCGCTGCAGGTTTAACAATGTAAAAGGGCCGTTGATAAAGGCATTCACGTCTATCGGAATTGGGAATTGTTTTCCTTCTAAATTCTTTTGTGATAGGATTAAGATTACTCGGATAGATAATAGAATATCTACCTTTAATCTAACAAAATGTCACTTGTAATCCGCTATTTCAAAAGTTAATTTGGATCAAAAGAATAGCTTTTATATATATCCTCTAATTTTCCAAATGGTATAGGTTTCCTGAGATTTATTCTAAGCATCACATGTTCAAACGGGCATATTGGCATCATTGTGCAGTGGAAGCTAGATCTTCACATTGTAGGGTGCAGCAACTACTGCTTGCGTCTCCGGGCCCGGGGGTGCTCGCTGGTGTGGAGGATTTAACTCAGCAGCACCAGAGACTGCAGCAATTACTTGTTGATAATTTAGCTGCGATCTAAATAGTTGTTTCATGCTCGATAGTATATGATTGAATCTTCAAAAATATTTATATTCATTCAATTTCCACATTTACAAACTCAAACAGAAAACACATGGCCAATCACACCTTAACCTAGCTAAAGCTTTAGCTCTAATAAACTTCCGAGAACTGACTCATCTAACTTTCATCATTATTGTTGTTGCCTGAGAGAAAGGCCTAGCTTGTTTCTTATTTATTTTTTATTTTTTAACCTTAAACGTGTAGCTTGTTTCATCATGAGTGCAAAGGCTTCTCATGGGGGGAAACTATTGGACCTAAATCTGTTGTCCAGATATCCTCCTCCATTATTGGATCCTTTGATGTTGTTGGCTGTGAGGATGGAGAGATACGAGAGGTTTGGGCCTATCTTGTGTGGGTCAGGTGTGACTGGCGAGCGGAGTTGGACAACCACTGTAACAAGAATCATCAGGCTTTGCTTATTAGTTTATTTTTTCCCATAAACAGAGAAAGATGGTCTTTATACATTGAAGAGATTGGGAAGGGAAAGGGGCCTCTAATTGTCCAAACCTCCCGAATGTTTTTCTCTTTTCTCTTTTCACTATTAGATTTGAATTTTTTAATGATTTTTCAGAGAAAACTACCACAAAATTGTGCATTTTTATTTTTTTTTTGAAAAAATCATAAAAATTCAAAACTGCTCCATTTTTTTCTCATAGAATATTAAAATGTCACTAATTTTATGTAGAATCTAATAATGAAAAGCCCAAAAAAAGAACACTTGAGAGGTTGGGGCATTTCAAGGGCCATTAGAGATTAGAGAGTAGGGCATTA